GCAAACACGTGGGTGGATGATTAGATCCCAGAGAAAGTAACTGAAAATACAGAACCTTCCCTGGGAGGTCCCCTCACCACGTACAGGAATCCATGTCGAGGGGTACTGTGTATTAGAAATTCAATTTTGTGTTTATCTCACACTATGCTTGAGTTTATCCATTTTGATTTCTTAGGTCATTGTGATTATTTTGTATTTCACTGTTTACTTAAGATTATTTACAGTTAAAGTTAATTTATGTTTTCTGCTTTATTTTATTTTTAAGTTTGAGTTTAATTATTTTGTAGCTTTAAGTTTATTCTGATTGTATTTTGCTGTACCACTGGTTCAATTTTTAACTTTTACAGAATGACAATTAGACTATAATGTCAGATTTAATAAACCACCACTTTATTTAATTAGGTATTGTATTCAATTCACTTCAGTAAATTCAAAATTTAGCCCTGTCTCATTTTAGTTTACAGTCTATTGGAGCCTTTTCATTTAAAAAAATTTCCTTTCTATATACTTAAGTGCCATGGTATCATGCATGTCATCTAAAAGAGATAATTAATGGAACTACAACTACATTGGGTAATTACATAATTTGAAGTTAATTAATGTTCTTGTGCACAGAATGTAAGTAGTTGTAAATTAGCAATACTTCTCTCTTAAGGTTAAGGTCATATAGCACAGTGGTTACTCCATATCATCACTCCTGACAAACTAGGTTTTGTATATTCATCACTACCTTGTTTCTGCACTTTTTTGGCATTGCCATCCCTACATTATACTTAATTTTTACAAATATTTTTTATTACTTGTTTCCCCTCTTTTTTTAAAGAATTTCATTGAAATAGGTTGATAAATAAATATTTGTTTTATTTTGATATTTTAATGGAAATATATATTGCTTATATCATAACAGCTTTGTCAGTTTCTCTAATTTTGTATTACAAAGAGGCCAGTGAAGCGAGAAAGATTCCTCCAGGATTGTACAAGTACCACAGAGCACTAGACCAACGTTAAGGGGATACTTACAGAACCCACACCTTCCAACTTCACCCCAACTCACTGCATGTGCATACAATCAAATACACCACATGCTAGGGTCATGTTGATTAATAGGGAGGATATTATACAGGTCCCAGGCCATGAAGTATGATACCAAACAATCCAATCCATGGCAGTAATTTAGATTTAAGATCTTTCAAGCCTTAAAGAAATTTGGGGCCCCGAAAGATAACCCATGATGATCAGAAACTTGTTTCTCTTCACTATGCACAGTGAAAAGGTTTAAGCCAAATGGATGTGGAAGAAGCCTCTGGGCTTAATTTTGTTTAAATGCAATGAGTGTTTTATTGAGACATCCAGTAAGACATTGAAACATGCCAGCCCAACGATGCAGTGAAGAGACTGTTGAATGATAGCTGTGGTAGAAGCACATGTTGCTGTTTATCCATGTGGCACTGACATTAGTTGACGAGAAGTGGAGCAGAATGACGCAGACCGAGTAAGTGAGATACTATTTGAAAAGTTTCCAAAAAAAAAATTGATTTAATTAAAGAAAAAAACTGTAAAGTTGAAATGAGTATTGGACTTACAAGATTGTTAGCCCTTTTCAAGAAGTAGAATAAAATTATTCAATGCCTTTAAAAAAAAAATTGATGTAGGGGGAAACCAGAGTACCCAGAGAAAACCTGCTTTCACGGATCAGGCACTGAATGATACCACACATACACCCAGAAACATATATATAATGTGTTGTTTTGATAATTAAACAATTGGTGTTTTTAAACTTAAGATATCAATAACATGTACACAGGGAGAAACCAGAGTACTCGGAGAAAACCTGCTTTCGTAGATCAGGCACTAAATGATACCACACATACACCCACAGACCTATATATAACGTATTGTTTTGATAATTAAAAAACTGGTGTTTTTAAACTTAAGTCATTAATAACACGTACACAGTCCTGTCAGTTGCATAAATACTTAATCTCCTTGATACCTAGAATAATAACTTAGATTATTCATTCTTTATTTATTTATTTATTTTTACTGAAATTGTTTTGAATATATCGTGTTTGTGCAATGAAAAGTCACAAATGGTCCTTACATAAGAACCATTTGTTCTGCCATCTAGCAACCAGAAATGAAACTGTCATTCATGAAACAGAAAAAATGTATATGCTTATAAACTGAACTCACTGCTAAGTAGTAGTTTTCCTTTTTATTATTTCCCCACAAAAAATACATGTGGTAGAAGAACAGAAAACTATTTCTGTTATTAAAGCTGTGACACACTCGATAATGAAAACTAGAAGCTCAAATTAGGCTACAACTCAACTTTAGCAGTTATTTGTAAGCATCATAGAGTAATAAATTGAATGCAGCAGCCATTTTTTTTTTAGCCCATCTCTACATACTAAGCACTACCATGCTTACTGATACACAAATCTCACAGATTTCAAACCTCACAAGCAATAAACAAAAGAATTTATAAAATATTCAAAGTCTTATAAGGTTAATATAATTCTTTTTTTTTACCTACCCAACAGCACATTGTAATACGTTGTCAGGATTAAACTTACAATAATAAGTTTAATGACATTGCAACTGATTTTTATGTCTGCATATTTTAACCCTATGTGCTTGTATTTGAGAATTAATGCTTACTATAATTCCACATTTACTTAATGTGTATCTTAACAAAATTTGGTAAACTATTAATAAACATTACATGCTGTAGATAAAAATTAAGATTTCTAATAACATGTTTCAACTAAAGGTTTGTCTGTGAATTTACTGAATCAGTCTGACTCAGACTCTGATTACTCTGAGTGCAAGCTGATTTTCATGTTAAGATTAAAAATACTTTTTTTCATTTTACAGTTTCATATTTAATTTACATAACTTTTTGATAGGGATGTTGGTAATATATAACTTTTTTTGTAATTTGAATATACAATTTAGAATAAAAAATATTTACTTTATTCAAAAAAAATATACCGTGCAAATTTTATAATTTAACTGGCTCTAACTAAGCTATAACTGGGCTAAAACACATTTGTTAGCTACTTCAGCTGAAATCAGATAATAGAAAACAAAGAAACTGGGGCCAAATTTTTCCAATTTTGTTGGGTGAATAAATCTAGCTTTGTAGAAATTCAGTTAATTAAAATTTTCTATTTCTATAAAATGGGTTATAGATAACCTAATAGTAATGTCAGAGAGATTTACTGACATTTTTTTGAAAGGCAGGATGTGACAGGAGGGGTGTGCCATGTGGATTTCACTGTATTGGATATATATCAATAAAGCAGAAAGCTTAGGGGCTAGAAATTTACATTTTACCTTGAAACTGTCTATAGTGCACCTGTGTATGTTGTGAAAGACTTAGACCATCATATAAAGATAGAAAGATAACCTAAGTCTGGCAATGCAGTGTGAAGAAGCATCATGTGATAAAGAAAAGTGAAGATTGCAAATTTATTTTTTAAATATTTCCTTTTGAAAATAAAAATCAAAAGTTAAATAATTTATAAATATTTATTTCTTTATGTATAATTTCAAAAGATTCCCAAAATACCTTTTGACTAGAGAAAGAGAAGAAGATGAATTGTTTGACATTGAGAACAAATCATCTGTTATTACTACTTTCTTTTCCAGATACTTTTTTTCTCCCTCCAGTTTTTCAATGGTTTGTTTCAAGTGTGCAATTTCAGTCAATGCTGATTTCAGATAAGCCTCCTTCTCATGCAATGCACTTGTTCTACATCCAAGATCTTTTTTCAGTCTTGATACATCATTTTTTAAACACTGTTTAGACTCTGTAGTGGACTGCAATTCCCTTGAATGTAGATATAAAAATTATGATAGAAACCACTTAATACTAAAACTGTTTTTACATATATACATATATGAAGTTACACTGAGACAAAAACATGTAATGATATCACACACATATAATATATAGAGATGATAACTATAAATAAAACTATTTGCCCTAAGGAATAAAATTATACCAGAAACACATTCACAATCATAAGTTTTATTCAGTCAAGTTTAAACATGGTAGTGTTTCAAACCAAATTTTATTGCGTAACTAAATCACTTTCTTTACGAACTGGCATTGCCTTTTTTCTTCTCTTTTTTTTTCTGTCTTTTTCAGCGATGCGAGATTGTTGGTATGAGTGAGCAACATGTTGTGTGGGTCAATGAATACTATCAAGAATATCTAATTCAAAATTACAGAGAGCATATATAACTCCTTCTGCAACAGTTCTTGAAACACCCTGTAACCATGTCCTAGCTTTCCTGAACAATATTTATGATTCTTAATATGCCTCTGATGAAAATTAGTTACTCACGGAAATAAAGCTTTGAAAATAAAACTATTTTATATATGGAGGTTTTGTTTATAATCACATTTATAAAGTGTTGACCATATGATTATATCATACATGAAATATATTTCAGCTTGTAATTTGTTTTTTCACTTTACTCAACTACTTACATTATCAGAAACCTATAAATTGTATTTCATTTTAAAATTATTTTGTTGGCAAAATCATTTAACTACTAAACATGTTTGAACTGAATCAATTAACTCACCTCACTGAAAAAAAAAAAAACATTTTCTTTGAAAATATTATA